AGAGCGGAAGTCAACGGTCCTCAACATTTACACTAGGTTTCCAACCCTGCCCACACGGAAGCAGACGGGAAAGCAGCAGAAGACTGAAGCGTGTTCCCATCAGGAGAGCGGCCAGGAGGCCCGTGCAAGCTGGGCTGAGAGCAGCCAGGACAGTTCTTAAAGGCCCCACGCGTCTTTCGGCCACAGCAGCCACCAGAATTGACAGGTCAAACAGATGCTGGTGCAGGAATGTCCTTCCTGGGTGCCTCAGTGATCGAGAGAAGGGCACGAGATTCAGACTCCGAATAGCTCACACAGAACACAACGTCACACTGAGGCAGGAGGAGGAAGCAGAATTCACAGGTAAGGCAGGATGGGAATTTAGAACGTCTTCAAAATTATTCACACATCCGGGTTCATCTGTCCCCACCCCAGTGAAAGAGGCAGGCCGGCCAAAGACCTGACTTCCCTGATATTTTGTAGCTTGAGAAACAAATTAACTGCCACCAACTAAACATTTCAGCTCCACGTTGTAGTGTATTTTTAAAATTCATTTCAGGGCTTCCCGGGTGGCGCAGTGGATAAGAATCTGCCTGCCAATGCAGGGGACGCGGGTTCGAGCTGGTCCGGGAAGATCCCACGTGCCGCGGAGCAACTAAGCCCGTGCGCCACAACTACTGAGCCTGCGCTCTAGAGCCCACAAGCCACAACTACTGGAGCTCGTGCTCCGCAACGAGAAGCCACCGCAATGAGAAGCCCACACACCGCAACGAAGAGTAGGCCCCGCTCGCCGCAACCAGAGAAAAGCCCACGCGCAGCAACGAAGGCCCAACGCAGCCAAAAAATAAAATAAAATAAAAGTAATTAATTAAAAAAAATTCATTCCAGAAGCTCCAAAATGAAATTCACAAACGAGTTTAAGGGGAAAAGCCTTTTCCTCCCTTTGGTCCTTAAGCAGACGCAGCCTCTCTGCACACCTGCGCCCTGACCAGCTTCTGCTGGCCGACCTGCTTCCAGCCTCGGCCCCTCCCGGGGCTGTCGCCCAGGTTGCGGGCTCAGACGCTCTGCACAGAAGCTCCTGAGGAGACCTTGGAGTTTCCCCAGACCTTGCAAGGCCGCCAGGGGACGCGAGAGGGTCTACCCGGTCCTCAGGCCCCCTCCCCAAACACCCACGCCATCCTGGCTCTGCCTCCCGCCTCCCAGGCCCCGCGCCCGGCCTACCTGCCTTTCGGAGCAGCCCAATCTGTGAGCCATTGAGGGCCATGTAGTCGCAGTCGGTGACCACGCGGACGCGCACCCCGCGCTGGTGCAGCAGCTGCACTGCGCGGCCCAGCTGCGGGCTGGAGAAGGCGAACAGGCAGAGCTCGAGGCTGGCGCGGGCTGCCAGCAGGGCGCGCAACAGGCGGCTCAGCGAGCTCTCGCCGTGGGGCAGGTTGCAAGGGCAGCCCGAGGGCGCGGCGCCCGGGACCCGCAACAGGGCCTCGGTGCACGTCACCTGCGACGGGAAGAACAGCACCTCGCGCCGCGGCGGCCGCCGCTGCCCGGCCCACAGCCAGCGCAGCACAGCGGGTAGCGCCTCCAGGGCCAGCGCGAGGCCCCCGACAACAGCAGCCACCACCTGCCAGCGTAACGGCCCCATCTCGCCGGCGGCGTCTGAGGCCCCGCCTACCACGTGCGCCCGCTGCCCACTGCGCCTGCGCGCCTGCCTGCCGCCCACCTGCGCCTGCGCATTCAGCGCCCATCGCCCACTGCGCCTGTGCGCCCGCCGTCCACGGGCCACGTGCGCCCTCCGCCCCGGGGCACTTGCTCCTGCGCTTTCGGCTCCCATTGCCCACTGCGCCCGCGCACCCGCCTGCCGCCTACGTGCGCCCGCCCACACTGCGTCTGCGCGCCCAACGCCCAAAGGGCCCAGGAGGCAACCAAAGAAAACCCACAGGGGCTTCCCTGATGGCGCAGTGGTTGAGAGTCCGCCTGCCGATGCAGGGGACGGGGGTTCGTACCCCTGTCCGGGAAGATCCCACGTGCCGCGGAGCGGCTGGGCCCGTGAGCCATGGCCGCTGAGCCTGCCCGTCCGCGTACAGCAAAGAAAAAAAAAAAAAAAAAAAGGAAGACCCAAAGTGACCAAAACTGGAACAACTTGAGGAACGGCATGAATAATGCAGAACTGGATTATAACCCAAGTTTAAATATACACTATTTCTATAGTGAAGTAAATGAGTAAAGAAATGAGAGGTGGGGGGTTGGGGGGTGATGTGCTGAATTGGGCGATTGGGATTGACGTGTAGACACTGATGTGTATAAAACTGATGACTAACAAGAACCTGCTGTATAAAAAAATAAATAAAATTCAAAAATTCAAAATAAAGAGAAAACCAAGTCCCAAGATAAAACTGATACAGCCAGATCATAATCAACTAACTCGCTTTCTACAGTTTCATCTTCATCATGTTTTTAATGTTACATTTTATTTTTTCTTTTAATTTTCCCTTTAAAATGAACTTATTGGTATTAATAAATGTATTTAGATTTTTTTCAAGTTTCAAAAAAAAAATGAAAGAAATGAGAGAGAAGATACAATCTGCTGTACAGAAGAATTCCAAGTAATATTTCAATGCAGACGCTCCCTCCCAAAGGAGCTGCAACGAAATCTGCCCCTTTGAGGGTGAGCCCAGCTGAGCGACTGCCACCGGGAAAGAGGAAAGAAAACTGTCCGCAGAGAGCTGGCCAGCACCGCCCTGAGCAGGTGACGCTGACATCACCCGCGCTGAGAGGATGTGATGAGAGGCCCTTCGCTTTGTGATCTCCGTGCCCGAAGCCCGTAGCCCCAGTTCAGTCCTGAGGTAAAAACACATCAGAAGCCGAGGTTGGAGGACATGCTGTCACTTTCCACAGGACACCTGGCCAGTACTGTGCACGTCTGCCAAGGTCACGAAAGAAAGGACCAGCTGGGACACTGTCACAGACCAGAGCAGACTGGGGAGACCTGACAACTACATGCATTGGGTCCTGGGACAGAAAGGTGACATTAGTGACAAAACTGGTGAAATCCAAATAAAGTCTGGAGTTTAACAGTAATGTACCAATGTCAGTTTCTTCACGTTGGCAAATGAATTACAATAATGGAAGATGCTAACGGATGAGGGAAACCGGGTGAGGGGTATATGGAACTCTCTCTGCTATCTTTGAAACTTTTTGGTAAATCTAAAATTATTCTGAATTAAAAGTTTATTTAAAATGTTAAACACACACCTTCCATATGGTCCAGCTGTCCCACTCCTAGGTATGACCAAAGAGAAATGAAAGCATATCCCACACAAAGACTTGTACGCAAATGTTCAGAGCAGGTTTATTTGTAATAACTCAAATCTAGAAACAACATAAATGTCCGTCAACAGATAAACTTTTGCATATTAATGCAACAGAATAATATTTAGCAATAAAAAGAAATAAATTATTGATATATACTACAACATGGATGGATTTCAATTATTCTGAGTGAAAAAAAAACAGAAAAAAAGGGTACAGACTTATGATTCCATTTATATAAAATTCTAGGAAATGCAAACTATAGTGATAGAAAGCAGATCTCTGGTTGCCTAGAGGTGAGGGAAGGGCAGGAGGGATTAGAAAGAGACATGTGGTAGATATGTTTATTGTCTTGGTGGTAGTGATGGTTTCACGGGCACATTCATATGTAAAACTTGTCAAATTACGTGGCTTAAACAAAACTTTTTTAATAGAGTTCCTGAGTTTAATTCTGGCTCCCCTGCTTCCTAACTGCAGGACCTCAGGCAAGTGGCTTCATCTCTCTGAGCCTCACTTTCTTCATTTGAAATGACAATAAAGAACGAGAGGAAGGACTTCCGGTTATGGCAGTATAAAGAGGCGCTCAATTCCTCCTCGCAAAGGACAAACCTAAATTGGGACTTCCCTGGCAGTCCAGTGGTTAGGACTCCGAGCTCTCAGTGCTGAGGGCCCGGGTTCGATCCCTGGTCAGGGAACTAAACTCCCACGAGCCTCATGGTGCACCAAAGAACAAAAACCAAAAAACCCCCATAAAACTGGGGAAAATGGGCAAGAACAACAACTTCAGGGCACTGGAAATACCCCAAAGGCAGACAACAAAATGAGAAGTGTCAGCTTCTAAAACCTGGCGGTGCTTAGGACAGGAGCAGCAGGAGTCCGTGGCCTTGTGGACTGAGGCTCCCATCCCTTCAAAACCCGCCCCTCAACCCTAGTTGGAAAAAGTAGCTGTCTTACCAATGTGGGATTGGCTGCAAAAACCTACAGTTTTGCTGGCCAAAAATGGTGGATTCAGTTGTGAATGAATGATCGAAACACGCAGCCTTACCAGCCCAAGCTTGCAGTCCAAGTTAGGGCAAGCAGCACATCAGTCAAAAATGTGACAGACATCCTGGAAATGAGAAAACCATAAAAGGGCTGAGTTATGTTCTCCCCACATCCCTGGCTAACTGGGGAGCAATGTATGAGTGGGAGAGACCCAGGAGAGGATGGGGAAAAGTGAAAGCCAAGGGGCGCTTGAAAGCATTCCCCAACCCAGACTGATCAGCAGAGGGTATGAGGCCTACAGGCTCAAAGTATTTGGGTTAAACCAAAATCACTGCTGACTACCACATTAGAAAGACTCAGGGGTGACCCCTACGAATAAATAAAAATCATTTTTAAAAAACGAGCAGACACACCAGTGGCTGCACAGTGCAGGGGAAGAGATGCTGACGTTTAAGTCCAGGTAAGTTTCCAAAGGACAACCACCTCAGAAAAATAAAGTCCAGAGTTGCTACACTTTATTATCAAAAATGTCCAGTTGTCAACCAAAGCTTACTAGACGTGCAAAGAAACAGGAGGTTTTTTTCAACAAAAAATACTAAGCTTTCCAATCTATTCTAATCTATATCATTTCCTTCCTTGTGCTAGCTTTGGGTTTAGTTTGTTGTTTTCTAGTCCCTTAAGTTGTAAAGTTAGGTTATTGATCTCAGATCTTTCTTCTTTTTTAATATAAGCATTTGTAGCTGTAAATTTCCCCCTCAGCACTGCTTTCACTGCATCCCATAAATTTTGTTATGTTGTGTTTTCATTTTCATTTGTTCTAATTTCCCTTGTAATTTCTTCTTGATCCACTGGTTGTTTAAAAGTGTATTGTTGGGGCTTCCCTGGTGGCGCAGTGGTTGAGAGTCTGCCTGCCGAAGCAGGGGATGCAGGTTCGTGCCCTGGTCTGGGAAGATCCCACATGCCGCGGAGCGGCTGGGCCCGTGAGCCATGGCCGCTGAGCCTGCGCGTCCGGAGCCTGTGCTCCGCAACGGTAGAGGCCACAGCAGTGAGAGGCCCGTGTACCGAAAAAAAAAAAAAAAGTGTGTTGTTGGACTTCCCTGGTGCTGCAGTGGTTAAGAACATGCCTGCCAATAGAGGGGACACGGGTTCAAGCCCTGGTCCGGGAAGATCCCACATACCATGGAGCAACTAAGCCCGTGAGCCACGGCGACTGAGCCTGCACTCTAGAGCCCACGAGCCACAATAACTGAGCCCACGTGCTGCAACTACTGAGGCCCGCGTGCCTAGAGCCCGTGGTCTGCGACGAGAAGCCACCACAATGAGAAGCCCCCGCTTGCCGCAACTAGAGAGAGCCTGCGCACAGCAACGAAGACCCAACGCAGCCAAAAATAGTAAATAAAATAAATTTTAAGAAAATAAAAAATAAGTGTATTGTTTACAAAGTGACCAACAAGAGATTAATCTCCAAAATATACAAACAGCTTATGTAGCTATATAGCTCTATGTCAAAAAAACCAACAGCCCAATCAAAAAATGGGCAGAAGATCTAAACAGACATTTCTACAAAGAAGACATACAGATGGCCAAAAACCACATGAAAAGATGCTCAACATCAGTAATTATCAGAAAAATGCAAAACAAAACTACAATGGGGTACCACCACACCGGTCAGAATGGCCATCATCAAAAGGTCTACAAACAATAAATGCTGGAGAGGGTGTGGAGAAAAGGGAACCCTCCTACACTCCTGGTGGGAATGTTGGTACAGCCACTATGGAGAACAGTATGGAGGTTCCTTAAAAAACTAAAATGGAGGGCTTCCCTGGTGGCGCAGTGGTTGAGAGTCCACCTGCCAATGCAGGGGACATGGGTTCGTGCCCCGGTCTGGGAAGATCCCACATGCCGCGGAGCAGCTGGGCCCGTGAGCCACGGCCACTGAGCCTGCGCGTCCGGAGCCTGTGCTCTGCAACGGGAGAGGCCACAACAGTGAGAGGCCC